AAAAAAAAAAGTTTGATATATATATATATATTGAGAAATGGCCAACGGCGGAGACTTTGAGGCGGCGATGTCGGCTCCGGCGACGCCGGGAACGCCGACGCCGCTAATGCCGTCGTCGCTGCGAGTGGACTCGCTGTCCTATGATCGGAAGTCAATGCCTCGGTGCAAGTGCCTCCCCGTCGACGCGCCCACGTGGGGTGCACCCCACTCATGCACCTTCGCCGTACCTGATATCTCCCTCACTCGCAAGGTAACTAACACGTCAAATATATTTAATAAATAATTAAGGGAACCGTTAGCTTAATCATATAACCGCCAGAGATAGTTGATCAAACGGTTACATACTCTGACGGAATGGTGTCGTAACGAGACCGTTAGCATCTTCCAATAATTAAACTACAATAATAATAATAAAATATAAATTTCAAGCACTGATTGTTGTCATCATTGTCACTCTTTTTCACGAGTAGTTACGAAAAAATGTCAAATCCCCCGCCCCACCATATGAATATTGATACATAATGGGACAAATAATTAAGCAGCTAATTAGTTTTACTAATTGCTTTGATTAAGAAAATAATCTTGGATTAATTAGTGTTGATTATATTAATTAAACACAATTTGACTTCTATTAATGTACATGTAAACCATTAACCAACCAAATGTGTGTTAGTTAGTTAATGACATGTTTTTGGACATTTAAATATTTGTTAGCAAAAGTATGTAACAGTGTTTATATATATAACTAATTAGGTTTTTATTATGAGAGTGAACCATAAATATTTTAATTTTTATGCTAAATAGGAAATTGTTTAATCTATATCTATATATATAATTGCTGACAAGCTTCAATAAATTTTATTCAGCCAGCAATTAATAATAGTAGTAGTTCATTTAATAAAAATGGATGTTCATTTAATAAAATTATGCAACATTCGGCTACACGCCCCATTTTGGATGGTGCCTATTTCTGTAACGCTTTTTTATGTCCTGAAATACAAAATATTTTTGATTTAATACTATATATATATTTTTTAGTATTATATAAATACATATTTCACAACTAATTAAAAATAACTGCAAATATCTCTACTGCCTATTGCAGTTATACAATAATTAAAAAAATATATATTCTTTTGGGATATTACAAAGATACATCAAATATTTTCAAAAATCAAATCCAATGAAATAAAACCCTCCTGCAGTATATTTTTTAAAATTTTAATATTATATGCATAAATATAACTTACAATACTCTATTTTAAAATTTAACACCATTACTAACTTATAATTTTAATATTATATGCATATAAAAATAGTTTAAAATATTTTATTTACATCTGCGTAAATGCACAGCACCGAATACTAGTATTAGTTAACATGAAATATAAAAATATTGAAATTAAAATAAAAAATAAAAAAAGATAGTAACTTTGTACCAAAATATCCATATCATATATATCAATGTCAAAATGGTAGGACTTTTTAGAGTTGATTAATTGAAGAAGACCCGACCCAATATGTATAATGGGATAGATTATATTCTTAAGGAGGGAGCACTTTGGATGGCCCAAGAAGATTGACCCATTTAAGGCCATGAAAGACGGGAAAACATGATGAGGTTGCACTGATTGTATCATATGTTCTCCTACATTATTAGAATTTGACAGACGGAGAGATGCCTTTTGGGTTGGAAGGACATTGAATTATTATTGCTAAAATATTCATGATGTGATACACCTTTGACCTGTCTACATTAAAATAAATATATATATATATATATATGTATATATATATATATTCTGTGTGAGTATGTGTTTGTGTGTCCTCGCATGCCATGTGATTTTTTGGGGAGAGTTGAAAGCTTTTATTAGCTTTTTAATTAGAAAGGGCTAGACATGGCTAGGGGTCACCCGGCCTGGACCCGGCCGGGAATCGGCATGAACCTGGTCAGGTCAGACCTGTTGACCACGGGTCTGGGCCCGTATCGGGATTCAAACCAGGACGGTTCAGGGTCATATGTATGTAATATATGATTGGTTGGATCGGGTCAGATCGGTTCGGAAATCGATAGTAGAGTTTTCTCATTTTTTTTAGGACGGGTCTTGGTTCCTGGTCGGCCCCGGTCGGCCGGGTCGTGAGCCCAACGTATACCTAGGTACGGGCTAGTTCAGGATCCGTAATTTTGGGTCGGGTCGGGTCGTCACGAACCCAGCCCGGTCAGACCTGTTGACCCCGAGTCTGGGCCTGTACCTGGATTTAAACTCAGGGTTATATGTATGTAATATATAACCCGACGGGTTGGGTCGGGTCACATCGGTCCAAGAAATCACTGGTAGGTTGTTTTTTCAAGATCACGGTAGGTGATTTTGAACCCGACGACTCGCCTGGTCGGGCCGAGCCTGGAATTTAGCCATGTCTAGAAAGGGGGTCGAACAAATATTCAAATCTTCGTCTATCTATCTCTCTCTCTTAAGAATTACGAAACAACCTATGAAGCATCCAAGAAATAAATCAGACATAGATGTGTATGATATTCTTTTGCAGAAAAATAGGCGGCGACTCAAACCAAACACAGTCTCCATGTATTTCCTGATACATGAGTTCGAGCTCATCTCATTTGTTAATATTAACTAGCCGAGCTATAGAAAAATACATAACAAATTTTATTGTTTAGAGCCTTTAACAAACAAGTTCAAGTCATAACAAACCAATCTACAGGTAAATTATATAAAAATTCTAAATTGTCCAAGTTCAATTATCAAGGGCTTGATTGTTTATGGAATAATTTGTTCAAAATGAATTATTTTGGTTAACTATAGTTAATTTTGAAAAAGTGGTATGGTTAGTTGTTAGTGGAATTTTAAAAATGTATTAAAATAATATTTAAAATAAAATGATTAAAATTGATTTGATGTAAAAGTAAGAGATAAATGATTGGAAATGATTGGTAGTTAAAATTATGTGAGTAGATAAATAGTGAATTAAAGTTGATGTAATGTATAAGAATGATTGGTCTGTATTATTTAATTATATAAATAATATTAAAGATAATTGGGTTGAGTTAAAGTTGAGTTAGATTTTGAATTAAAAAAAAAAAGTGAATAAATTATTCCATAAACAAGCAAGCCCCCCGAGTTAAACTAATCATAGGAGGGTGGTCATTAAAAAGTCTTGTTAGTCAAATCAAATGTCATTTCACATACAAGTGGGACTACCTATTACTTAAAATTGGTAATCAACTGATCAAACTGCATATATTATATATAACTAACATAAATAAATAAACAGATAATAAAATGTATAATAAATAATTAATGTGCAGCTGGGAGCAGAGTTTGTGGGTACTTTCATCCTGATATTCGCGGCCACGGCGGGCCCCATCGTGAACCAAAAGTACAACGGGGCAGAGACCTTGATCGGGAACGCGGCCTGCGCAGGGCTGGGAGTCATGATCGTGATCCTTTCGACGGGCCACATCTCGGGGGCCCACCTAAACCCGTCCCTCACCATTGCCTTTGCAGCCCTTCGCCACTTCCCGTGGGTCCAAGTCCCTGCCTACATAGCAGCCCAGGTGTCGGGCTCCATATGCGCCTCGTTTGCCCTAAAAGGAGTCTTCCATCCCTTCATGTCCGGTGGGGTCACTGTCCCATCCGTCACCACCGGCCAGGCATTCGCCCTCGAGTTCCTCATCACTTTCAATCTCCTCTTTGTCGTCACTGCTGTTGCCACCGATACTCGTGCCGTGAGTCCATTATAACGTTTTTTCCATACTTTTTTTTTTTCGAATCAAGACAAAAAAATAAAATAAAATAAAATAAAAAACTTTTTTTCTTCAGGTTGGAGAACTAGCGGGAATAGCGGTTGGAGCTACAGTTATGCTCAACATATTAGTCGCCGGGTGAGCCTAAGTCACATATATATACTTTTTCCATTGTTATTAATCTTATCTTACTAATCAAGAGTAACTTTAGCCACTATAGATAGTAGTAAATGTGATGTGATATGGGGGTGTGTTTTTTGCAGGCCCTCGAGTGGTGGCTCGATGAACCCGGTGAGAACTCTGGGGCCAGCAGTAGCAGCAGGTAACTACAGGTCGTTATGGATATACCTTGTGGCCCCAACACTTGGGGCCATAGCCGGTGCAGGTATCTACACGCTCGTCAAGCTTCGTGGGGAAGACGAACCAGAGGCCCGCCCGGTCAGGAGCTTCCGCCGCTAGTGGACCTCTCTGGTGCGGTGTCGTGTACTATATAACAATGGCCATCATTGTTAAATATACTGTTACAATTTTATTATTATTGTTGTTGTTGTTGTTGTCGGAACAAAGAATTTACAAGTGGTTTTAAGTATGGACAAGTTGTGTTTGGTGCTTGAATAAAGGCCGAGGGAGGAATAGTACCTTATGCTCCTGCCTGCCCTCGATGACTTTATGTTTGAATAAATGGTGGGGGTGCTTGGACTTGATGTGTGAAGGAAGATCCTTTTAGGATTGTGTGTGTTTTTTGTCAATTGTGTGGTGAAAAAAAACAATGCATATTTGTATCTTTCTTTCATGTTTTCCTTAATCAGGCATCTTTGAATTATGTATGTTGGCCAGAGTATCATTTCATATTTGTTATATTAGGAAAGTCAAAAAGTCGGAAATGGCCTAATGCTAATTTTAGACATGGCAAGGGTTGAACCGGCTCGGGACCAGCCCAGATATATACCTGTCTTGGAACTGGACCCGTGGTAAAACCCAGCCGGTTCCAGGTCTTTTTTCTTTTTACCCATGGGTTCTGGGTGGGTTTCAAGTCGGAAGACGAGTCCGAGTTGCTTTTTTATTTTTTTTATTAAGAAAAACCAGCACTTCAATGAATTGCCTGGTCGGGCCGCTTTAATGAACCAATCCTTGTAGGTAGCCGGGCCGGTTTTGGGCCCAGCTTTTGAGACGGGGCGGATTATGAGCCGGCCCGACTGATGGCCACCTCTAGCTAATTTGTGTAAATTTGACTTTTTATGTGCTGATGGAGATAGAGCTACTGCTAATTGTAGGTTTTTATTGGCCTGGTTAGATTCGTACAGTCTATTCTAGAAGAAAGATACCCCAAAGACAGTGAAAGTAGAAAAGGAAAGAGTGGGGAAAATTCGACTCAGCACTAGTGGGCACCAATCACACAATCAATGTGGCTGTGTGAACATTGTGTGGTGATGAAAAAAATAAAAAATAAAAACATAAAATAAAATAAAATAAAATCACAATGAATACTCTAAATGCAGCATTGAAATTGGACAACGGCAATTCAATAGAGTAGACATTTTTTCGTCAAACAAAAATTCATTGCTGATGGCCAATTTGTATTGACTTTTGTTTTGTTTTTATAGACCGCCTATCTTGAGAACGGGCCGTGGGCCGAATCCATAATCGAGGAGCCCGAGTAAGAATAATATGTTAAGTTGCCCTTTGTTGACTTTATCTCGAAAAAGCACAATCTTATTTGATACTGCGAATAAGCTTGCTCGCTGCAAATCGTTACGCGGCCCACATGGGCCCTCAGGCCCACCAATGTGAAAAGATTGAGAATTTTGGAGCCAAGTGTCTCGACCTAGCCAAAGCCTACGGGCCAACAACAATGTGAGGCCGAACAGGATTGTACTCTTTCGATGTGGCAACGCAATTTGAAATGGTGCTCCGGCAGGAGCTCCTCGAATTGAAAGGTTCGATTTGCAACAAGAGCTACAAACCAAGAATCAACAATCACTGTGGTACTTGCCCCAAAAGCGTCACTAGACTCGACTTTTTGTACAAAACGAGAGAGACGGGGAATGTGCTAAGCGTCACCATACTCGACTTTTTTTACAAAATTGTGTTGTGCTACCTACCTAAGAGAGTGTCGGGGAATGTGCTACCTGGGACAGTGTCTTCAGCTCTCGGGTTTCGATTTTCGATTTCTACCACTGCAGCACTATGGGTTAGGACGAGCAAGCTTACACTTGCTTTGGGATGAGAACGACATGTGTTTCACTTTCGCATGGTGCACTAAGCATGTCACGCTCGTGCCACCTGTCTACTATCCAATCATTTATCAGTTATCGATACTGTTAATTTAACCTGACCAGTCATTTATCTATCTTTTTATCCGTAAAAACAAAAAAGAGAAATATACCCATGGGAGACAGAGAGAGAGAGAGAGAGAGAGAGAGAGGGAGAGAGAGTATAAATGGCAAATTATGTGGTAGGATGGGCAACAATAGCAGCTTTCACCTTAACCCCATAGGCATGGGCCCCACAGGGTTTTAACGCATAGGTGTATGTGAAATTGTGAATGTGTATGATCGGACGGTTAAAACCCATTGGGAAAGTGCCCATGGGGGTAGGGTCAAATCTACTGCAACTAACATGCCAACTCCATTGAAGTTGCCATCACAGGGGCTAATCTCAGCCAACTCCATTGAAGCCACAGGGCCAATCTCAAGTTCTTTTAATCAATAATCAATGTGTCATTCCAAATGTCTCACCAACTTCTCCATACCCATTGCCTCTCTCGCTTGCTCGGTATTGTCATGTCTTCATTTATACATTGTTTTGAATCGTAGTTTCACGTAATATAATTTCCTAATTAGTGATTCAACCCGTAGAGCTAAATATGTATGCAGTCCATCAAACCGTGGCTCAATGAATCCAGTGCAAAATCTAGGGCCAGCAGCTGCTGCAAAGAACTACAAGTCAATATGGATATATCTGGTGGAGCACACACTTAGAGCACTAGCCTGGGTAGCTGTTTAGGCAGTCAAACTACATAGAGAAGATGAATCAGTGGAGCCCACCAGGTCAGGAGCTTCCACTGCTAGAAACCAGGTTGATATTAATTACTAGAAAATCTTCTAATCAATTCCTAATTTTCTATATCCTCAAGAGAGCAAGAGTTCAACACCTATGCTATACTCTACTCGAGATTGTAATTTATACGTATAATATATTTAATCAGTTCTAAAAAGTGAGCTTCTAGGCAAAGGTACTGTTTTACCCTACAATTCAATGAAGGTGGTAATAGCCAGATGTGTGACAATCTCAAGATATAAAGTTTTACTCAGATGGCTGCATCAAATTAGTAATTGGTGTAAGCCAACGACGTCCAGCATCACAACAATTTGGGAAGAACAATAAGCAAATGAATATAGATATCAGCAAGATTTATCCATCTATTCCCTCAAATAAGAAAATTAAGAAATTTACTGATGGGAGGAGAGATGCTCAAACCATTAGCTAATGTTACACAGTTTTCCAATCAACTGTCGTGAGTGTAACAAAATCGCCACTGATTGACCTTTGTTTTCAGCTCATGAGGTAGAGCAGCAGACCATGTTGTCATGTCTGGCAAAGATCCAGTCAAAGCAAGATAGTTTTCGCCTGCACTTGGTGGCAACTTTTTCCAATTTACCTGGTATCTATCTTGTGAGTTACACCGACAACAAACCAAGTAATGAGCAACTGTAACTCATGCAAAGTGTACGGGAGAAATTTCCAATATGTAGAAGATACATCTTCTGCAACTTGTGTTCAATAAGAAATGACCATATCAATGCTTACAATAACTCAATTTTCGTACAATCAAAATTGTACAAAAATAAACCTAAGAATAACTACTTACTGAGGGCCGGATAGAAAAATCAAAAAGGAAAAAAGTGGATAGCACATGCACCTAACAAATGTTTCTATATTGGATTCGACAGCTTTGAACTCCAATATGTTCTTTAGGTTATGGTAGTAGAATCTCTCTCTCTCTTCAGGAGTCAAGTGAGCAAGATGAAGTTTGCATTTAAGTTTATTAAGATCAAAATATAGCTTCACACTTTTATTTTGAATTTGATTCTCACACTCACTTCAATGAATTTTCTCTATGGGCAACAGATAATGAACTTTGTCCAGGAAGCAAGCCCAAATGAATCACATTTTTTTAGACTATATAAATATATTAATAATTGTTACAACTCTTCTCATTTTCTCCTAGGTTACCCTTGCAATAAGTGCCGTGAGATAAGCTTACTGTGGAATCAATGGTGCTAAAGAGAGTAATTTCAGTCAATCTTTGTGTACGGAAAGAAGGCATTAGCTTGGAACGAAGGCAATCAAAACAAGCATAGCTTAGAGGGACAGATGCAAGGGACTATATTCACATGAATAGAAAACATACTTGTCCAGGAAATGCTTGACATAGGGCCCTAATGGTAGGATTTAGTCTCCAAGCTTCAGTCATTGGTAGAGCTTTATGACGTACTTCATATGTAGCAGACAACCTGTTTTGACCAGCACCACAGTTCACCATGAACCGGCCGTTAGGCATCAATTTATCATGTAGCTTCCTCCAAGTAGCAGCCTCGTTAAGATAAGGTCACCATTAGAATTACAAAATAGTAATGTCTGCTTATAATCTATACACATATAGTAATTATTAACACAAGTGGCAAAGGGCAACAACAATGGCATGCATCGAGGCATGGATTGTGTCCTGTTTCCTGCACATGACTTAAGCTGGCTTTTTATAAATACAATATTTATATAAATATCATCGTCCCATGCCTCAGAAAACCTAGGCCTGTGCCTCGGCGTGCATGAGCGCAAAACATCCATCTTGAAGACAATTAATTTGTTTCAATTTCATTAATCCCCCATTTGGCAGCACTTTTTAAAAATCATTACTATTGTTTATACTTTCTCGAGTAATCACTAGGAGTTCCAAAGCTTGTCGATCATCTATCAACCAAATAATGAAATTACTTTTTGATCCTTTTGTATAAGCCTGCTTTTAATAACTACGACAATATACCATAGTTTTAGACTATTGACACTTACTTTGGTTAGTGATTGGTTGATGATTGAGAAAAGTTTCTGGGATTGTGTCAACGGAAAAAAAAAATATAATAAAAAGGTATCGGAAAGTGTTTACTGGTTAAGAAATGCACTGGGGGACGTAAAAACAGTGTTTGGTTGGTGACCAGGGAAGTTGATTAAAAAGGGTGTTGCCCAAACATAGCGTAACAGCCTTTGAGCTCATGAACCAATCAGAAGAGCTATTACACAACTACCATATTTGGTCCTTCTGAGCACCAAGTATACCAAATAAATTTAACACATCTTAAGCCCTCTAAAACAAGTAGTACCTGTTCTAACTGCGGCAAAACCTTACCCCCTGCGAACAAATCAACTATGATTCCTGCAATTTGTTCATCAAAAAAATAGTTGGCTATATTATTACATAACAAAATAGATATATTGTTCAGCACTTGATCTCTGAAAACTTACACTTCTCTGTGTAAAAAGAGCTGAGCCACATCAGCTTTAGTCAAAGAGCAAGAGGTAGTGGAGAGAAACAAAACGGGAAAAAAAAATGTGGATGTATATGCCACACAGACAAATGTTGACGCATTCGAACCAAATATCAATCAATTTGTCTAAGGAATGTGAGTAATACGATTGGATCCACCATATTACCCATCCAAAATATAAAACGAATGTGAGTAAAACGATTGGATCCACCATATTACCCATCCAAAATATAAAACCAAATATCAATGAATTTGTCTAAGGAATGTGAGTAAAACGATTGGATCCACCATATTACCCATCCAAAATATAACGGCAACAATCTTAATACATGTCTAAAAGGATAATAGAACATATACGATAGCTATCCTGCATGCAGACGTGCTCACCAGCGTATCCTCCAGTAATGGCAGCATCAGGAGAAAATACATCACCAATATGAATATTGAGAAACCCACCATCCATAGTGTGCTTCTCGAGATCACGAAGCCCAAGATAGTCTCTAGATTGATCTATTATCTGACATCATCAAATAAACCTCTCATCACAAAAATGATTAACAAGACTATATGAAATTTTGAATATTAGTAAGAGAGCATCGTAGAGTAAGCTATATGTAAGTTATTGAGATATGCTTTCTTCTATAAGAATCTTAAATCTATATCAACTACGTAGGTAAACACAAGCATTTGCAGAATTTTACTAGAATCTTTAGCTTTCTATTCAGGGGTAGGTAAATAGGCACATAAGCAATAAATATGAAGGTAGAAATTGGTAAAAATAAGACATAAGCATCCAACATATCAAGTAAAAATTAGTCGAATCTAAAAGTTGAAAGCAATGGTTGTTACGATTTCATCTATCTCCCAACCGTCCAGCTGCAGTGAAGGCCACAAATCAAGCATCAAATGCGCAGCTGTTCCTCCACCCTGAGATTTTTCTGACGCCATTATCAAACCATTATCTAATACAGCAACTCTTAGAATTCTTTGCAAGTCACGAGACTAATAAAACAAGAAGGTGAAACTGAAAAATTCACCTTATTCAAGTCAGAGGGAAAACATTTGTATTACCAAGCCAAAAATTGCGATGGGGCCCTCTGGAACAACAGGCGGTAATGCTACAAACTCATCCTGCACAAGGGATCTCGAAATTGTTAGCCCGTGAGTTGAGGGCGAAGGGAAAGATCACCTTTCCTGCTTTCCAATATTAAAAAGTCTGAAAGGACGGCATGTGTAGAACTCATCCCCAAATGTTACTTTAAAGGAAGAGGGTGTTCAATCCACATTTATGCACAATAACAATCCAGTATCTCAATAATTTGGCAGTGGGACTAACAAAAGACACAACTTCTAACAGAATCAATAATGAATTGATTAAATACCAATCAAGAAAACAATGATCAAATATGCAATCAAAAAGTATAATGAAATGATCAAATGGCTCTAGGCTATTTAATCTTATTTATTTTGTTCTTGTTAAGGATGAAAAAAGAGACTCAACGAACTACTCGATACTCCCAGTCCAATCAAAATGCTCACAGCATAATGCATTTACACAAACTATTTGCAAGGGGAATAAGGGAATTGACCACTGTTATACGAAAAACCAAAAAATAACTGGAGAAGAATAGAAAACGAATATAACACAACTAAAAGCCTCGTTTTAATCAAAGTATACACACATTAAAGAAGTATTGTAAGAAGATGAGCACTATAGTCAAGGAGAGACACACATACGGCATACCCAATAGGAGCCCGTCCATTTACTTCCGTCTTTGTTGAGAACGCTGTGGACA